TATATATATATATATATATATATATATATATATATATATATATCTCAGTATCAGGTATTCATTTTCGACAGCAAGTGGTAAGTTGCTATAGCTGAATCAGTACTTTATCTTTCATTTGTCACCAACTTTATCGCACAAAGAAATACGATAAAAAAAAAAAGACAAAGAATAATTCGACAAAATAACAAATCGTGGAAATTAAGTAACGTTTTGGATCTTAAATCTTCCTTCTCTTTACCTTTAATTCAACGTAAAACCTTTAAACGAGCTTATTCGTATCGAGTCTTTCGTGAAGTGAAAATTTCACACATGAAAATGCTACTTTATAGTAACTAGCGTCACTGTAGTTTCCGCTCTCTGTATAGCTACATCTATCGTGAATAAACATCACTCTTGTGGTTGTAAATGTTTGGATGGTGTGACAACGTCGCGTCTGCCGAACATTTACTGGTATAGTACAATAAGTAGAAACCGGTAGAATGATCTAGATTCGACTTAAAATGCTCGGTATAATTGTATCTGGTCGGCTTGTAAGTATCCAAGTATCAGTGATTCGTTGTACAACTACCGACATTGTATTTCATTTTCGATATTAAATTGTCAATTAAACATAACCGTGTCGTAAGTGTATCGGTGTATCCTTACACTAGAACACATTGTTTCCCGTTTCTTTGCTTCTTCCCAGTTTCTAATGCTTTAAACATTGTATCGTTTTGTTTCGTATCTCGTTTTTGTTACCTTTCAGTAATGCCCTCACCTCACCCCATCTTGTCGTCAACTTGCCACGAGCATCTTTACATCTAATCGAACATGTAAATGTAATGTCGACGAATTGAGATTTTGTCAAATTTCAAACAGTAAATTCGAATTTTCAAAAGTCCAATATCCATACCGTACGTAATTATAAACGTAACGTTCCTTTTTTTCTTTTTTTTAGGTGCAAACGGATTTTCAGCAGATAGGGGAGAACCAGTTTTTAATAACAGTACCTGATGCGGATAATATAAACCATATTGTGGTATTTCTCACTGGTACTATACCATTTCCTGATGGGACAGGTGGTGCAGGTATCTGTTATAACGTAACAATTGAATAAATGATGTGACATTCGTCCATACTAAAACTCTGTCTTCGCAGTGTACTTTAGTTGGCCGGATCCAACTGCTCCGCCTAATTGGCAGTTTCTTGGGTATATCTCAAATGCCAAGCCATCTGCCATATTTAAGATATCCACTTTGAAGAAGAATCACGAATTCGAAAACAGTAATTTAGGAATTTTTGGAGTGGGGAAGATTTCTCACGTAGCGCAGATAGGAGTTTCAGTGGAGCCTATTGGAGCTATAGAACAACAAGCAGCCACAGTAACAGAAGCTACGTCGAACTCTTTCCTAGAATTCGTTCAGAAGATGCTTACTAGCTTTTTGAATTACGTTTCGAGTTTTTCTGTGACTCAGTCGCAAATGACACCAAATCCAACAGAAAACTTTGTACCACTCTCCGCTATCCAAGGATGGTACGAAACTTTTGAGAGGAGGTTACAACAAAATCCAAACTTTTGGAAAGCATGATGAGAAAGAAACTGACTCTCGATAGTTCGTTACCATTTTGCATAGTGACGCATCATTTTTCAGCACCCATACTCACCTACGCGAAACGTCGCATTATGCGCATAAATTGAAATTTTTTATATTCTCACTGAAAAACAATATCTTAATAATAAGAGTAAGAGTAAATTACGATGCTGTCGCGTACCTCACTCAAAAATGCAGAGTTTGCTACCTGTAAATGTTCAGCGTAAGTATCAGCATAAGTTTTTGTTATTATCTATCATATTTTGTTATACTATGCTATCAAGTACGTGATTTCTGATTTGGTTATGAAACGGTACATCGCTGTTATATCATCTTTATTTGGAACGCTTTTATTTGAAAAATGTTGCAAACATGTAAATATATATATAATTAATTTACGGTAACGTGAGAAAAAAAGAAAAAGAAAAAACTGAATTTACGATCAAAGCGATATAAGAACGAAATGACGCATGCGTGAACTTCCATTTTGTTCGTCAAGTTTATGGATATCCACGAATGATCATAGAACTAGAGTGTCACGTTATATGAGAAAAATGTCGAACGATCGTCGAGAAATTTGTACTTCTACGAGGTCAAAATTGAGATTTATTAATTTGTATTTACACAATAAAATTTTATCGAATACACTAATTGTTTGAATGCTGTTTACATCAACAACGCCTCGTTCTCGCATCGTTTTTCCCATAATTTCTCATATCGTTCCGACCAATGATACGATAGATTTGGAAAAAGATAGTTTCGTTGAAAATAGACGCTAAGAACCGTATCGGACAGTGGAAAAACGGCTTGATATGTATATGGACTAATCTGTCAATGTAACTTTCACATCGAGTAAAACCGAGTACCTTTCGAGGAGACGAATCGCATCGACTCTTTCGTGGTATTGCTATTTAATTAAAAAGAAAAAGAAGAGAGACAAGAAGCAGGAAAAAAAAAGAATAAAAGAAGAAAAAAGGGGAAAAGAAGGAAGGAAAGCAAACAATTCAATTAATGGAGATCGCTCCTTGTGATGCTGGCCATTCCCCCGAATTGCCGTAACGAAAACTGATTGCGTTTGGATCGAGCTCACATAAGTCTAGTGGAATCGTTTATCCCGTAAGCGTAAGCTATCTACGTATCTGTTAAGAACAAATCTAAATTACTTAGATACTTCCACGTTTGATATCTCGGAATTATTGTATCTTTTTCGATACGGGGAAATGCTCTCTGTCTCTTTCTTTTCTTTTTTTCTACCTCTCTCTCTTTTTCTCGTTCCGTCTTAATTGAGTAATGTCCACATTGTACCTCTTGTGTAAACGACTGTTCATGGATATTGTATGAAGTATCAAAACGGTTGGATATCATCCATCGCGGAGAAACTTCGCAATTCAAGGTGAGACATTATCGT